GGTATCATTTTCCACATAATATGCTCCTTTTGTACTTAAACCCTACAATTTTAGTACATTCGAGCTGTTCCTCACGCGGAAGTTCTACAACACGTTGGTCTCATTCGCTCCTGTTCCGCAGAACGATCCAACGGCACCCCTTCAACCGGCATTCAATCCTGAGTTTGGCCAAACTCCGGGGAAGATTTATCCCAATATATAAATTGATTTTCACAACTAGTATAATTCTATATTAACGATTGGTTACTGAATGATCTCACATGAATTCTATCCTAAACCGGCACTGGTTCGTAATTTATGCGCTTACAATTTAGGCTCATCCAAGTCCTAACCCTACCCCTGGCCCAGTGTGGACCCACAACAGAGTTCCATCCGTTTTCTCTCTTCTAGGACTATCCGGCGCAGTTCGGCCGTGTGGGGGCACCGAACGGTACTTAGCAAAGCTAGTTCAGACCACCCAGCGGAAATCTGTAAATTGCTAGGAACAAAATGGCTCACTTATACAATTACGTCACTCCACACGATTTCACAGGTCTCACCGAGAGATGACGTGTAATTCAGCTTGAACTAGCAGAAGGAAGAAGCGAAAGCGCGTAATGCCCCTCCCAAGCCGAGCCGTGCCGGCTATCTTTCTGTCTCTCCATTTACGTTCTTCGATTCGCCTACTCATAGTCAACTTACTGTTGCTCTAAAAACGCCAACAACAGCATAGAGATGTTACCGGCTTCGAAATTAGTTTCTACGTATCCAGGGCATTATTCAAGCAGAATTGAGCGGTTGTGTCAGCTCACTGCCAGTTAGGCACATTCCGCGATAACCAGTGGAAAAAAGAGTGGGATCCGAATCATAATTATGGTGCCTTCTTGCCTATACAAGGTACAGCATCTCTGGGAAGATCCCACCGGGTTTCCTACCTGAGCGAGATGGGGGAGTCGTACCTGGCTTGAAAAATTTTTCCGAGCTGCGTGAAAATTCCTCCCCGTGGTGAATTTCTAGCGATTGTCCCCTTTCACACTACCGAGCCATCTGTCCATCCTTCGGCACTGCAGAATAACTACTGAACAATTACTATCTCTGATAGTTGATCTTGTTGATGATTCTGATAGTTGACCGCTAAGGACCCCCTCTCGCTCGACGCTAGTTTTTCTCTGAAAATAACTGGCAGAAGTTTTGGAAAAGTGGTAAGGTTCGGGAGAATTTGTGAAGACAGCTCGTATCCGAGGAGGAAATTCCGGGGTTTGATGTGATACCGCCGTTCCACCCATCTCGATGGTGTGCCCTGCTCCCAGTCTTCACCGTATTGACTGGAGAGGATGCATCAACGGGAAGGCACAATGTTTATGAATCCCGCCCACTGGGCTATCGCGGAGCATGCCATTGGGACGTGTGCGCATTCTGAATCACCATAGGTCCTTTTTTACTTGTTCTCTTTTACAGTTCTCCACTATACAAACGCCTACGATTATTGCCGGTTCTATCCGAAGATCTCATGTTCATTTCTACTTTATGTCTGATTTTTTTTCTGGACACCTCCATAAACCCTTCACTATGTTGTTTGTTTTTTGAGTACATTTTCCGATCGTAAATCGAAGGAAGACTAATAAAAATGAAAACCCGCTTGCCTGTTCCATACCCCTATCAAGACGCTAGATCATCAGCGGCACATTCCTCGATTGCAAGCCATGGTCCGAAAACAAATCTATAGGTGACGCAGAGGCGTGTCAGTAGGGCTGGGTTTAGCGCGCTGCCAGCCTGCTCTCCACCAGTTATTAAAGCGATTAAGGGGCAACCAGTGATGAGCAAACTACTATTTGAACAATATAGTCTTGACGCTTGCCAAAACAAAAGAGAAAAACGGGCTGGCGCCACGTCCAAACTCACTCCCCCTGCCCTTCTTCTTGCAGAGAGTTGTGTATTGGACGAACGGGCAAAGAGGCGAGAGGCGGAGAGACATTGGGTGCGTGGGCGAGAGATCAGAGTTTGAGGATGGGAGAGCATAAAGACAAGCGGGATGGCAGACACCAACGCATCCGCCAGTGGCCTTCGCTTCTAGGTAGGTCCGCTATTGTCGGGCAAAGCCGCTGCGGCAGGTTACCGCCTTACCCTCGTAACTCGTATTTGAGGACCATTGTGCAATTGCGGACTGCTACAAAGAGCTGGTTTCGATTATCAGATAATCGTGTAGTGGGACTTTAGATCTCTTGTCCCACCCACTGAAATGAACGTCGCAGCGTTTCCCTTGATGCTAATCCGCAACTAGCTGTTATCGTTTATGTCTGTGCTTATTTATTCACGTTTTCCACCCACATTTGATCCAGCTATTTTGTGTTGACTTTCCTTAACGTACAAATAAATCTGAAGAGTAAATCGAAAGAAAAAATCAGCTAAATGTGGGGAAAAAAGTTCGCTTCAAGGAAAACATAGAAAAAACTAACCTATATTGAACTTCACATGTGGTACCTTCCCATCCTGGTAGACATTTGCATTTGAATCTTCCTAGCTGAGACGGTATACAGTCAGCACCATTGCGACAGGGATTCGCCGACGAACATATATCTTCAATTTCTTTACATTCGGGTCCAGCAAAACCGGTCCTGAAAAAACCGAATCGTTGATAAGAACTATAAAATTGGAACATCCAGAATAACTCTTCGCCCATAATTCCGTGATTTGTCGAAATAATCACCTGCATAGACATTTTGTTGTTCCAAAACCTGGTAAATCATGGCAAACACCACCATTCGGGCATGACACGCCTATACATTCGTCCATTCCGAACTGGCATCGAGAACCGGTGAAGTCTAAACAGAGATTCATTAGAACCCAAAAAAATGCGAAACTCTGATATGCTGAGGTCTCTAGACTGCCCAAACAGCTTCCATTGAGCCATCTTCTCCCGGAGACCGTTTTTGCAGCTCCTATACCCACTAATATTCATTACTGGCAATTATTTACACTTTTTCACGAGCATAGAAGAGAAAATCCGTCGCTGAAAATCAATTATTTTTTGGGATGCAGCACGCCTTATACTTCCATGGCCAGCGCTCTAACTTTCCACAGCTTGTCCCCTACGGGATGGTGAAGTGGTATCAGATGTCTGGCGGGTTGAAAAAAAAAACCTGACTTGTACATCAGCTGGCCCGCCACAAGTCACTGTAAGCTCCCCTCCCCCATCACATTCAGTAAGCTATCATAGTACGACTGAATGCAACCGAAGAATACGTGCCGCATCCCAAAAATGGTTAAGCAACGGCAATGACTTCATCCTCAGTTATTTGTGCCTAAAATGATAGTAAATGCGGATGGACCGACTACCTTTAGCTTTAAGACTCGGAAAATATCCCGCTTCGATTCTTAATTAGTGAGATAAAGGTAAGCCCCGCTGATCACTGCGCGTCAACAAGTTATGAGGATACGTATCATGTCTAGGGCCATCCGGCTTGGATTCCTCGAACGAATTAGAATAATGGTGCAAATGGAGCTGCACTTGATCAGCTCCAGTCATGACATCCATCGCTGGCACGCGAATCGTCTACCCTGCCAATGCAGTCTATTCCACGTGCTCTTGGGACTTGGCGCTTTACTATTCGAGTTTCTTAGCGTACCCTTTCCTTTGATTGTGTTCTCCCCAACAAAGTCACGAATTTTTTTTTAACAATGTGGATGTTCATTCGAACTATTCTACTCCACCAATAAGGGAAGAAGTGAAAACGCTCACTCTGTGGGCAGATGCATCTGAATGTGCCGGCGATCTCTTCACATGATCCACCATTGAAACAAGGGGATGAGTCGCATACCGGCTCGATCAATTCGCATCGTTCACCAACAAATCCAGGACGACATTCGCACACCGCGCGATGATCACGTACAACACATTCGGCCTGGAAGTGAGCATACTATAGGGAAGAACTCTTCTACAGATTCTGAGAAGTAAGTTACATCATAAATCAAGCGTTGAAATAAAGGAGGATCTCAACTCATGTGAGGTCAAATAGTAGCAGCAATAGTTTTAGCCGTAGATCCTTTTTTGGGATAAAACTTTCACGGCTTGAGCATTTAGCTCATACGCTCACACCTGACGAAAGTCTGGAAGTCTCACCAGCCGTGAAGTGCAACCTGACAGGAACAAGTCTAAAGGGCAAAATGCCCCCCACCACCGAGCTGAATAGCGCCGAATCATCGAATTCGGCAAATAAAAATAGATCCTACTTTCTAGGGTTCCTGTGTCATCTAGAAACCCGTCCTCGCTCTCCCACCTGTGGCACAGCCCTTGCTGAGCACATCCCGCCCTTCCTCAACAGCCTAGCCCTCATCCTCAGGAACGCTGCCGAAACCGTTACTTTTTCACACAATGAGAAAAAGTACTGCATGGTAAAAAGAAAATTTCCGGTGCCCCATAAAGTGTTTTGCACACAATCCTTACCTTATTCTCGCACTGTTTTGCAGCACAGTCCACCGGTTCACAAGCTGATTCGGCACTCTGGCCTTCGCTTGAAGTCGCCGTATGATTGGAGCATTGATTACATCTAAACAGAGCTATTCGAAATAATAGAAATGCCGTTCAACAAAATCAAAATTCTGACGGGAAAACTCATAGTAGTGAATTTGGAACATGTCCAAAGATAGTACTGTTACTTAGGGCTACGCAGCGTTGCCACGGAGTGATGCTTTCCCCTCCCTATGGTCACTCTCGTAGACCGCCCAGAAGAAGAGCGTGCAGATAGGCGTAGAGGAACAGACTTGGCTGCGCCACCGCGTACCCCCCCCCCCAACTAAATAAACGCCAAATGACCATAGCGTAATTATAGGAAAATCCCACGAACCTGGAAAGTGATTTAGACTCACCGCTGCTGTCCAAGAGCTGGCTGGTAATGATGCAGTGGACATGGAGAGCAAGGCTCCAGTCCAGACAAACTGAACGTTCCTGGCTGACATGGTTGTTTGCAGTAAGATGGACCACTCGAACCGAGTCGAGCCGTATATCTCGGAACGTAGTCGCGGCCGGTGTGAGGTGCCCCAAGGGGCATGGGATACACTTCTTGAACACCTGGAGTGTGTGTACCTTCGCGTAATCCAGGTTGCAGAAGCTTAGTGCGTTCTGCGCGCAACACAAGCGAGAAGAGAGGACAACTTGCAAATCATACCAGCTATCTGGTGGTCCAGAGAACGTGTGCGCGGGCAATAAATTGGCAAACGAAAGCCAATCCACTTTAGGCTGTACATACATTACCACAAACAGCTGAAACAGAAAGATGTAGATAGGACCTGAGCTCGTCACAGGCAGGACAACAGGGTACTCACCGAGACAACTCCTTTGAGAGTGTGCACCCTCATACTGAGTGAACGTTCCCTCGGGGCAAGCTTTACAAGCCAACTGTCCAGCTTCGTCTTGATATGAGCCAAGTGGGACACCGTAACGCAAGTGTGTTTGGCAGCGCGGCACGGGAGCCGACTGGCATGGTACTGAAAACAGAGAAATCTATTGCGGGACTTCTCCACTAATGGGTATATTTATGCAGCTAAAAAACTTGACAGCTCACAAGAGCTGGTCAAAGAAAGGTTCGGAGGTGCAGTTCGTTGATACTCATCGTCAGCAGCGCACTTCCACACGTTGGGGAGAATTTTCCAAAGTGCTACCCCCTCTCCGATTTCCTCCCCGGTTCCCTTCTCATAACGTATCTACCAATTCTGCCGAAATTTCGCGTTGGAAGGGCGAAGACGGGCCTAAAGCCAGACCAGAGCGCATGCCAGTTTCCGTGTCTCTAAGTACGACACTGATATCATACTTGATAGAGAACACTATCAAGCTAATGGTAATACTTTTCTTTGAATGGAGGACGGAGGTGGGGTAGTGGCAGAGTGGCGCGCTATCCTCGCGGCGCGCCGGGGTGCGAGAGAGCGTGAGGAACGCGAGAGCGTGCTGCGCTGCGGCGGGGGACGGTTAAATTGGCGTACCAATTCGTTCTGGGAGGATAAAGACTGACTTGTACATCGGCTTGGCCACCGGCAGCATTTATAGGCCACATCGGGCCGATGCGAGAGTGTGGCGAGTGGTGAGAGTGAAGTTAGAATGCTGCCGCATCCCACAAAGGCGATTGACAACGGCGAAAGACTTTATACCTTTTTTTGCCTTTTTAATGGTACTTGAGAGAGGACTATTCGAAATAATGAAGTGTCTTATAGCGGCTTTTCTTCAAAAGCAGAATACACAACCAACACCTTGAAGTTTTCACAAAGGACCTTGACTGCATGGCGCATTCTGGGTGCCCTAAGGTGAGAAACCCCTGGTCTCCTATGACCACTTTATACTGAGTCGGGTTCAGAGTGCGCGAGTGCGCGTCAGGAAGTGATGCAGTTTAAAAAGTCTATTTTACGACTCGAAAGGCGAGCGAGGTGTGAGTGTGAAGTGTGTGGTGCGCCAACACTTCACCGTCACCAGCGATCCTTGACTTATAGACGACCTGGAGAGATGTAACGCAGCATTCTAAAAAGCTTTTGAAAGACTCAACCCGGAGACGTCGAGGTGTGAGAAGCAGTAACTGAGGGCAAGCCGAGGACCTTGAGAAGAATTGACTCTGGGCGGTCCGTTGAGCGAAAGAGATTACGATGGGGTGGTGGCACTGAAACTCACAACGAAGATTTACCAATAAGTCTGCCGATTTCATAGAAAGCTCTGTAGAACCTACTGGACAGGAGGCGGGAACGGGCATCTTACAAGTACTCACCGAGATATGCGTAGGTCTAAATTGTTAAGCTGCGTGAAGACACCAAAGATCATAGAACACTTATGAGAAGAACAGTTGTAGAATTTGAACCTGCTGGTAGTTGCGTAATCTTAAGCTCACATGTAGGAACCTGGTTGACGAGGGCGTTTGGCGCGCAGAGACTTAGAGAGGTGAGGCGACGCCTTTTCATTGACAACACTCGGCGTCAGGAATCTCACGAAAGACCTGTACTGAGCTGAGACCCTCTGAAATGAGTCAACACGCTCTACAAGAGGTCAGAAAGTCGGATCAGGTGCTAGGCGCGCAATAACCTGAAGTAATGGATAATATCTGTGACTTATCTTCGTCGATTTTTCATCACCAGCGATGGATAGGTCTGATCCCTCTGAGACGTACCACGTAGGCTCGTTTTAGCGTGGCACCAGGCAGCTGCCCCTTATTGAAGCGGTGAAAGCGACATCAATTGGTGGAGAACGGGTGGGCGCCACGCCAAACCCAGCTCTTCGACACGCCTCAGCATCGGCAGCGAAAAAGACGTTGCGTTATTGCACCAAACAACCCATTAGGATTAGGGTTTACCGACATGGACGGCTTATAGGAAGCTACTGTGGCCCCATCCCGACTGCTGACTATTGCTGCTTACGGATCTTATAATACGTTCGATATCGAAGTTATAGAGAACATCTATGAGAGCTAGAGAAGAGAATCGTTGGAAGAGTCCCATTAGGGGAAGGGATAGTACCTGGTCGCTGGGAAGGAAGGAGAGACTTGTCTGCCTTCCAGGAAAATTTAACTTCCCCTCACCCTCGCTGCCGGCGTTGCACAATTACCATATAACTACTATTTCTGACAGTTCACACCTGAAACTAGTAGTTGAGTGGTGACGTCTGCCTCCCTCTCTCTTAACTCGACGGCATTTTGGGTTAAAACTTTTTTCCACATTTAGCTGATTTTTTCTTTCGATTACTCTTCATATTTCTTTCTAGATTCAAGTTTTTTTCCCTGACATTTCCTTATTGTAGCTTATTTTGCATTAAAATTCAAAAAGTTTGTTGAGAGTTGCGAAAACTCGGGGAGATGGTAGGTGCGATAGGGAAGGGAGGCTGCATTAGATGAAAAAAATGCTGGTGGAAGCAGTCATGGGGCGCACTAAAACCTATTCAAAGGGGAAGGGTTTACTAACATCGCCATTCCACATATTGCAATGATGCACCCTAATGAAAGCCCCAGCTGCAAGCGATTCAACACCGAGATAAAACCGTTACAACCTTCTAACCCCGAAACAATGCCAACAATGAAACTTCGATAAAGAGTGTGCGAGCGTGTGCGTGTCGAGCGTGGGAGCGCGTGTGGAGTGAACTGATAGAACATTTAGCTCGTAGCGACGTGGTTCTCGAGCTATAAGTAAACCGTATTAGCATAAAACCATAAATAGGCCACATTGATGGTGAAAAAGAATGTTTGTGTGCATGACTTACACACTGGGACACACGATGGAGCTACACCAGAAGGAGACCAGCGGCCTGATTCACATTTGAACTCTTTTGCTACCTGAAAGATCACTTACTTTAGGTAATGAAAAAGAATGGCAAATGACTCATCGAGTTGCCTAATGTACTATTTACTTAACTTCGTAATTGATAACCAACGAAATCTCAGTTAATGAATTTTTCAAAGGGGGTTCAACGAAGTCGTCCAGTTTCCGATTCGCGCGCATCAGTCAAAGGCGGTAGGTACGGTGGTTGGTGGCGAGCAGCTACAAGAGGGTGTTTGGCTGAACCCCACTCAGCCCTCACCACTGACGTTGGCAGTGACCGCCCGCCCTCATCCACCGCGCCCACTTCTTTAAGACGAGAACTCTCTTTGATTTTAGGTCAAAGAAATACGATTTTGAGTGATCATCAATCCATAATTTTTGAGTGCAATTGTTCCGACCAATTAAATTACCTTGTCTTCGTCCACAAAACGGTATCCTTCTTCACAAGATATGGTGCATTGCATAACATTATCTTTCTTCGCGCACTTTTTCACCACGTGCTTGGCGGATAACAGCGATTCCGGTGAACATTGCTGGGCTAAATAATTTTCTTCACGAACCTCGAAACAAGAAAAAAGCAGTCATGAGTGTCTCGAAGTCGTTACTCTTCTGTAGCGTTCAGACTTTGCGATGACCTGAGTCGAATTCGAGCGACTCAGTCGCGCGATTACGAGCGACCCGCCCCGCTTATCGTTGATGCCCTGCAGCCACTAGAAGGTTTGTCTATCTCCAACGTGACTACCTTAGCACCTAAGGATGTTCAACAACTGATAACAGCTTCGCCATCAAAGAATCGCGCGGCAGAATCGCTGAATCGCGAAGTAAGAACGCTGCCTAATCCGTAATTCCTCCGCAGAACACTGCAGGGTCCCTTCATAAAATAAATAAGCGAAGTGCATAACTCACGCATATAAGCCACTTGAAATTTGCACTGATTTCGATTTCCTAGCGCATCGGTGGCTGTCACTTCAACTTCAACAAAATCGCCTGGTTCTAGGACTGCTTCAGGAGGATTGAATATCACCTGGAAAACCGTGGAGCATCATGTGGTAATGAATCAAATAACGGCTCTAGCATGAACAAAGGCAAATTGGAAATAATTCATACT